TAATAATAATACAAATAAAATGTTACCAGCTATAGTTAATTTTAATATCATGTCGATATGAAGAACAATAAAATATTTTTTTTAAAAATGGGTAATTGGATGTCGCTCAGCTGTATAGTAAGTTACAAGGGGCCAAGTGGGTAATTGGTGGTATTAAATTTAAATTCAATGATAATATAATATCATTGTATACGAAAAACGATTCTGAGCGGAGATGGTTTGTCAGTCTAGGATAATATAATATAATATAATTATTTATTATATTTATATTATTATTACTTATTATTAATATGGTAGCTGGTAAGTTAAATAAATATTAATAAATTACAAAAAAATAACTAAAATCATTATCTTAGATATTAACTATGTAATTTCGTCCAATTTTTTACTTAAAATAACTATAAAAAAAAAAAACGATGAATAAAATCGAAGCAGTTTTAGTACCTCAAATGGTGATGACAGAAACTAAAAATAAATACATCATTCTAAAATAAATACATCATTCTAAAATCAATGCATTCATCGATCCACTCAGAACCTAAGATCTGTCATTAGCATCTGTCCTATAACTACTATACCAAATAATTTACGTAAAACGTAACTAAAAGCACAGTGAGCACTTTGATATTTAATTTTTATGGTCTCTAGACTCTATTATGTATGATCAAATACATTTAAAATTAACTTGTTTATAATAATTTTCCATCGTGAAACACAAAAATCTATTAATATGATATTTAATATGTCAGTTTTTATAATTTAAAAAATAAAATGTAATACAATGTAATTATACAATTTTCAGAACTTATATGAACCCAATAGACTCAAACGATTTTTTTTTTTTTGTATCAATTTGTTTTACTTCTAAAGCTTTATTTTTTTCCCCGATTTCAACTATTGAAATAAAAAATAATATTGGTTTACTATCATTCGATAAAAAATATCAAGCATAATTAAAATAAAGAAATACTGAAAAAAAAATCCATATACATCATAAATATCCATGGTAAATAACATGAAAAGTGATCATTTTGAAAATATGATTATTGTTATAAAATATACATTAAAATGATTGTGTAAAAGTTTTTTTTAAACAGAAATTTACTTGAAATTTTTGTTTTTAGTTATACAATTACATTAGACTTTATGTATATAAAAAATTAAATTTTAGTTTTGTATTAAACAGTTATCCTAGTACAACGTATTTTATTATTATACTACTTCGAGAAGTAGGTACGTAGGTACGATACTTGTTATTTTTGGACACAGGATGGTTACAGTGTGGCACTGGTCAAAACAAAACCGTAAAATCAGGGCTCATAAAATACAGTTCCATTTATCTCTCTGTGTCTCTCGTGGGTCACATATTCTTTTGAGTAGAAATTGTCTCTATCTTTCGTCTCCGATAAATCACTAAGTTTAGGTACCAAGTCAACTCCAGCTCTTAACCACGAAGGAAGAGGGACTAAATAATTCAGAAATAAATCGTGGGTTAACCGATTTTCTTCTTCACGGGATTTTTTTTTCTTTACTCTATTTTCAACGAATTGATATGCAAAGAGCCTTCCTTTTGTAAATAAGACCTTTTTAGCTTCAAAATGTATCCGACTGGCCGATATTAGAAACCTATGGCGTGCGAGGGGAACAAGGAAACGAGATAAAACACTTTTTCGGTTATGCAAACCATTTTCGATTAATTCGTTTGTTTGCCACATTTCCGGAGAGAACTAAACCATTCATAATATATTCTTCCATTTCGTTCTTATGAAAAAAAAGTTTACCCCAAATTCTAATGATATGTGAAGTGTTCCGTGATAATATGCATTGTATTCACAGTTATTATAATATATATGTTTCTCGAGAGAGCACTATTTTTACTCATCATAATATATAAGTACTTAATTTACAATTTAGGAAATAAAAATCAATAAATTATTGTTGGAAGGAACAATCATAATATCGAATTCGATTAAAATATATGTTATATATAATACGTATATTATACTCTAATGGAATCTAGTATAAAGTTTGTTTTTTTTCAAAGTTTCCTGCGTGATACCTGTGAATCCTATATCGACTCGACGATACGGATCCGCGCACGAAGACAGATTCATATAAATTAAAGTTAAACATAATCAATAGAAACTAACCATTTAAACTGAAATGTATAGGATAAAGAAGAGAGCAGTTTCAGCCGTGAAATGCTGATTAAAATGGATTTCGAGTGCAATTATTGCGAGACGACCAATATAGCAGTGCTCCTGCTATAGACTTCGAGATCGGTATACGACTGTGTGATTAAGCGCTCCTTAGTAAAAAAAAAAATAAAAAGCTCCGTAAACGACCGAGTGTGCCCATAAGTCGCTCAAACGTCGTAAAGGTATTTATACGGTCTCGAGAGAATTGGTCTCGAGTTGATACGAACATTTTGAGAACTATCGTTCAGTACATTTAGTATACGAACTGCAGACTTCCGAGTTTCGAGAAATGATTTACTAAGTTTAATATTCAAGTAAATCGTAAACGACATTTGAAATTAAGTGACGTGATGGTGTTAGAAAGCACCGGACCCATCATATCTTAGACGGTTTAATTTTCATGAGCGAATATTGTTAGGTAACTATTTCGCAATTTAATCAATATATTACTATAGTTTTACGATTTGATCAAACTTTACCTATGATAATTTAATGTATATTGCTCTTGACTTTTTATTCACAATATAGCTGTATTACAACTATATTAAGAAAAATATATAATAAAATAAATGTATTTTTTGACTTAAAGATGTACTCATTTTTCACCTCATATTAAAATACATTACATTTTTACAAGAAAATTTACATTTTATCTTCTATTTACTTCAAAAACACTATAAAAAATATGTTTAACGATACTATATTTTTTTTATTATACTCAATTTCAGACATTATTACAGCAACCGTTTTAAATTATAAATTTAAAATTTAAATAAATCAAATACGTTGTACATTTATATTTTAATAACATTAAATCATATAGTATATTTTTTGAACTGTAATATTGTTATTAAATATAAAACGGAACAATGAGTATAAATTATTGTTGATGATCTTAAATACATAATATGACAATAACGTGAAACATTTTGTACATTATAAACTTTAAAAACATATTATATTAATTTCATTTTTCATTTTTTATAACTGGAAATATGTGTATTTGTTTATTAAAAATTAAATATATTTTTATAATGTAGGTATACTTTAAATTCATTAAAGGATAATTCGGAGAAAATAATAATTATTAAAAGAAATTATTTACATTTTACTTTTATAAATCAACGGCAATTGTTTTGTATTCGACCAAAAAACGTTTTTCACATATTACAATTTGAAAAAAAGTTCGACTATTCATAGTCGAGTGTCGTGAAGTGGCATTTTTCTTCTTACAGTTTTCTTTTTCATTTATATTAATTTACTATACAAACAACTATAGAACACGTTCTCGGGGGAAATTTGTGAAAATAACGAGCTAAAACTTTATTTTTATCATTATTTTTTTTTTTTAAATAACATAATTCTCGGGACATCGGTCGGCGACTGCGGAAGCAGCAGCAGCAGCAGTTGTAGTGATGGGGTGGCGTGCCCGCGGCGGTGACGGTGTTCCGGTGGAACGAAGATGTGCATGGTCATATAATAGGTATTACACGCGTGTATAGCTTATCCGTTTCAGCACACGACAAGAGTTTAAAAAACATACTCAGAGACACGGAGACCAGAGATAGAGAAACATAATATAGAAGTAGAGTGTGAGAGAGAGAGAGAGAGACACACACACACACACACGCACACGAACACACGATCGAACTGTTTTTTCCGATTCGGTCGTTTTAGCGGGCCGTTTAGCCGCCGGACATTTTTCAACCAGTTTACCGGTCCCCAAGTGGCCCATTCGTCTGGCCGGCTTTTTAATACGTACAAAGATATATATAGCATGCGATCTAACACCGAGCATGTGACGTATACGGCTAAGGTACGACCTATGTATAATAAACGGTTTTAGAGCGTGACTAACCATCCGGCGCGACAGATAATCACACGACCGTTGTCTCGAGTCCGTTTGCACTTTCGTAGTTGTTGTCGGAGCAGCGGCATACCTTCGCGAGGTGAGCGCTGGTGTATACAAGTTGTGCACTAGTTTTAAAAGCGGCGCTTGATCGATGAACTTTTTCTATTATAAACTAGACAAACTGTCAGCAAAATATGCTGGTGGAATGGTGGGGGGGAGTTCCGGGTTGATGTCGTTTTAGCAGCCCGTTTAGCCGATGGACATTTTTCAACCAGTTTACCGGTCCCCAAGTGGCCGATTCGTCTGGCCGCCTTTTTAATGCGTATAAAGATAATATAATATACCTATATAGCATAATATACGATCTAGCACCGAGCATGGGACGTACAGGTTAGGGTACGATCTATGTATAATAAACGGTTTTAGCGCGTGACTAACCATCCGGCGCGACAGATAATCACACGGCCGTTCGCTCGAGTCCGTTTGCACTTTCGTAGTTGTTGTCGGAGCACACCGACACGAGGTGGGCGCTGGTGTATAAAAGTTGTGCGCTCGTTTTAAAAGCGGCGCTTGATCGATGAACTTTTTCTATTATAAACGACGAACGGTCAGCAAAACATGTCCGGTGGAAGGGGTGGGCATGGGGTTTGCGCGGGTGATGTGCTTGTGTGAGTGTCCAAACGAGTTTTAAACTGTTATTAAAACTCGCAGGGCACTTCCCAATGCGTTTTATTGAGCTTATAACGCGAAAACTTTCGGACGCACAACCGGAGTAAAAGTAATCACCAGAGCGGACACGTCGTACACTACACTGCGATTTTATACGTTTTTATTTCTACTCCGCGGAAAAAATAAATTATTATCTAAGACATTAATCGGTCCGTCCGTCGGTCGGCGTCCGATGGTTTTTTTATACTGTGGGTATTATGCTAAAAACTATCTGTACTCACCTCTAAGTTGTTGATGAACCAAGTGACCTGTGCTAGGGGAAATGTCATTTTGGCTGTACAGTTGGCTTCTAAAAATTCACCTACGGAGTACAATGGTCGGAGTCCTTCTATCCTCGGACCATCGTCGGGAAACGCTAAACGAAACATATAATAGACGATAAATAAAATTGTTTTCAACATATTATCAGTAACAGTAATATTGTTGTAAGTGATAAGAATATGTACAATTCAAGTACATTATTAGGAACCTATACTATCCGATGCAATGAATTAATAATTTTATTTTTGTCCCAACAATACATTAATTCTAGTATGTGTATATAATAATTCACTATTATTCATTGTATTAAATATTTTATGTTTATATTATCAATAATAATGACTGCGAGTTTTGACATTTATATTGACAGTAACAATTATGTGAAAAGTCGAACTACTGAATAACTCCAGAATGGTTACACAAATATTATTTATTATTTGGATTTAGATTATGATCACATATTAAATAATATAATATAATACATTAATACCTATGTTGTACATAAAATATAATATTCCTTATTAATATTCCGTATTCATTATATACCTATATGAATCTTTATAATTTATAGGTCAAAACTAGACTTGATATATTATGATTAATGATTATTTTGGCACTGTGTAGATAATATTACCCTTATTATTCGAATTGTATAGGATAACTACGAGTGTATTAAAAAATCGTTGATTAACGATACTACCCGATTAGGGTAAACTTCCAGTGAACAATCACAACATGGTTCTTGTTCACCAACAAAGTTATTGCAGTGATTGAAAATATCTGGTGGGTGCAGTAATCAAAGAAAATAATTGGAAACAAGTAATGTTTGGTAGCTTATGTATACAATACACTTCGGCACATATACACAGATAATATACAACGACAATAATAATACAGTCGATAGAGAATATGTGATGTAAATAAAATAACAATGCATTGACTGGAAGAACCGGATTGCATAGAATGGTTTTCAACAGTTCCGGTGACGATAGCTTGCTATAGATATCAGTAAAATCACGTAAATGACTTGGTGTAGGTACCTCCACTATTGTCAGCCACATAGTGACAAAGCTGAGATGATAATCATTGAAACATTTATGCTCGAAACTTAATCTGAGCATAATATTAGGATAGATCACTATTAATAGTAAATACCTATTCAGAAATAAAAAATATTTTATTTATAAAAACTAGGTAACAAATTTAAATCTATATAGGTACATATTACCAATATTATATTATTTAATTTCTATTATAACTTACAATACATAACATATTATTGTATAGGGCAATGTATATATGTACAATGTACATTGATTTATTTTAGGATAGTTGTGACGTAAAGTGTAAGTTTTTTTATTCAAAATTTGTATGCATCGAATTCAGTGAATTCATATCACGAACAACTTTTGAAGTTTACTCAAGGGAAATATGAATTTCAGCATTCAATATTTAGTTCGTATTGTCTTTGAATATCAATTATGTAAATAAAAATAAAATTTGTTATACCTACTATTATTTAATATTATAATTTATTAGACAATATTATATTATTGGTATATGGTATTAGTTTTGTGAGACCCAATATTTTGTACATATTAGGTACTTATTTTTGGAAAGTGTATAACAATATGAGTACGGCGTGCAAATAATATTACAATCGTTTCTTACCGATGACTGACATATTGGCGTCTTCGACGACTGTCGGGAAATTCGGAGCATCCGTAGATACTTCACACTTGTAATTGCCGTTGCTCGTCCTGGTCAGCGGATACAGCGTCACTTCACTGGCGGACGACTTACTCTCCTGGAGGATAATGACAACAAAAATTAAAACCATAATACGGTCACCCAAGAAATGTGAATGCGATGCACATTAGATTGCGTACTACTGAAATTGGATAAAGCGTGGTATTGTAGACAATAATTGTGAGCGCAAAGAAGTAAATTTCTAATTACGAATACAATTAAATACCTGTAATAAGTACCTAGGTTTTTCAATACAATATATTTTTGTCTTACATTTTTTTGTTTTCAAAATGTTGTATTTATACGTTATCAGCCTATAATAATATACTGTACATGTAGGTACATTTGCATGCACCGTATTAGATGTAGATAATAAATAATAATGAAATCTGTCTTAAATGTAGTTTTATGCGGACTTCAATAGGAGACGCTTTTAAAATAAAATAGCTTTGTTTTAGATTTTAGCTTACCAGCTATTTAATAATATAACGATATTTAACTTAAAATTGACAGTTTGATGCGTACTTGGTTTGAAAAAATTGAAAAATACCTATACATGATATTTGCCTTTAATATTATATGTAAGGGTAGCAACGCGCGTATTAAATTCCCAAGTCTTCTCACTGCGAGAATCAAAAATACTATAATAATATAATATCAAACATAACTCAAAAATAATACGGTAAAACGACGCCGTATCGTTATATGAAGTTGTAAAACAACTGTGCTGGCGACGACGACTGTGGCTGCGGTATATATTATATAGGCACGGTAAATTGCTCCACCTCGGGAGGGGGTCTGAAGGCGCTCATATGAATACGAAATAAACGACGATATTGTACGACAGTGCCACAGTGACGTTTATATATTTTATTGCGTATACTGGATGGGGTGGTTGGGGGTTGGGAGCGTGGGAGAGAATACATGGCAGACGAGCGTCGTCGTTTATTTCGTTAGGTTTTTATTCTGGCCCTTGGTGTAAAAACGGCTGCCGGGCCGATATAAAGTACGAGACATACAAATGCACCGGGGTATGTGATAATGTTTTCGCGGTTCCTATGTAGGTCAATGAGTCGAAAACTTTCACCACAAATTTCCACGAAAATATATTATATATATATAAGTACAACATGATATTCGCGGCAGGATTACACAGCGTTTCGTTGTTTCATCTCGGCGTCTAACCGTCTCCATCCACCACCTGCCATCGCATCGTCCCTATCTCTCGCGCGCACCTAACCTAACTTAACCGCGGCGTTCCTTTCGGTGACGGCGGCGGTGGTGACAAACTCTCCGCGGCGCAAAAACTCTCCACCGCGACCTCGTGGCCTAAGAAAGTTTCGGCCGTAATTTTTAAGCCACCGCCGCCGTTACACGTGCGGAGTACACGGCGCGATAAAATAATTTACCGACCGAAAATAAATGAAAAAAAAAAAAAAAACGAATACCGACCGAAAACGTCGACGCGAACCACGCATATTTTGTACTACTCACGTCTACGTTTACGCCGTCCAAATCGAACACGAGCGTCTGTGGAGACAGTCCTGGGGTGTATCGGAAGAATTCGTGATCGTCCTTGTACCATTTCACCGAGTACAGACTGTCGCCGCCCGTATCAAACTTGCAGTGCAGCGTCACCGAACTCCTCAAGTCCGCCCATTGGGGTATGACCAATTTGGTCAGTATCAGACCGCCTTTGCTACCTGTGAAAATGTACAAACGGATATAGTTAAATAAAAAATATCAATAATCTAATGAATTAATTATTAAAAAAAAATAATTTTCTTTTAAAAGATGATATATACGTATGTATATATTATATAGATAATAACAATTACAGTAACAATACAATAACATGTTAATAAGAAAGATTTAACTACAACTAGATAGACGACCACCTTCTGGTTCAGAACTCGGACGACGGAAAAATACGTCACAGTCAAAAAGTGTCTGCGTCCAGTGGGCAGTGATACTCTATATTTTTTACGAAGTGAGGCATACAGCTGTAACGAGTATTTCATGTTTTTGTACGATATTGATACTACACAGATTTTATTATTATATTGTACCTCCAATAAACGTTTTCTGTACACATAATACACGACGGTCACAATGAAAATCCGACACGAGCTCGCGTGCAGGTACCACGTTCATAATCAAAAAGTTAGCTGGCTAATGTTATTAATTCGCCCATCATTGTTTTATAAAGGGTCTTCAATATATTGTTATTGTTTGTTTCCATAGAGTCAAATGCCAATTAGTCGTTTTTCGGTTTATATTAAATGTATTATCTGAATTTCACTTTACCAGTAACCTTTTGTTCATTTGTTTACGGGTTTTATTTTTATTTTATTATTGCTACTTTTTCCGAATACCAGATATATAATAAATATAATAATATGATTATAGATTATTTTTATTTTAGTAAACTATCTTATTGAACTCGAATTAAATTGTTTCAACTGTTATACTATTGTCATAAAAACATTGAAACTAATGGGTGTAAAACGAGTAGGTAAAACCCGATATAAAATCGATTAAACAATTAAGAATCGTAACTCGTATATTGCAGCGGGGCCATGGTGAAATTATATTTACAATTTGCATACGTGTTGCATACTTTATGATCGTATTTAACCGTTTTTTGTTATTAGTTTCACAATATTTTTAACTGAGCTGTGGCCTGCGAATAACCCATTCATATATTAATTATTCATGACGAAGTGCTGAATTAAAGGATTACGGACTATATAGGCAAATCCTCTATAACCTTTTATGTTACATTTGAGTTAAATATTTTATAGATTTTTATTTTTCTTTCGATCCTGTCACTAAAAGTTATACCTTATTACATACCGTAATAGTAAGCTACTATTAAAGCTTTAACTTTTTCAGGATTAAACAATTTATAACATTTCAAAAAAATATATTATAAAGATAATAATGCAAAACTATTCAATGGATATAATAATATAATATTATGTTAACGTTAGAGCCTTAAGCTCATATTATCGTGTCAAAAAAATTTTTTTTTTGTCAATTAGTAATTTTATTGGTGAACACTAAATATTATTAGAAAACCCGCTATCATAGTATACCATGAAACCAATGATAGAATTTATAACAATTAAATTTAAAAATAAGATTAAATTGTACATAATATTATTATTATAACAATCATAAAATCCACATAGGTAAATCGTCATAACTAATTAAAAACCTTATATAACAAAAGGTATTTAACAATATCATAATAATATATTAAACATAATGTAACTTTACTGTGGATAATATTATTGTACCTCATGTAGTTTTAAAATACAAAATAATGTTATAAAACATAGTATATAGAAAGGAAAGGGGCTTTGCTTGAAAATAAGTGAATGAAAGATACCTTCCTAAAAATAAAATTGTTATAAATCAACATGAATAAATAATTGTTAATTTTAATAAAAAAAAATGAGAAGACTGTTCGAAATTAGTTAAATTTTCTTTTTAAATCCATTAAATAATGCATGTATGTAACACATTTCATGATTCACAGTAATATGGTTTACACTTCAAGTTGGTACGTTTTTGACTCAAAACTACTGTACACGTACACTAAAGAGTTTAGAAACAACTTCCTTGTGATGTCCAAAATATTCAAATACTTTTTACTCTAATCTAATGCCGGTATACTATAATAAGTCATTTCAAAAACTTATGCATCAGCACAAACTCATGAATTACAAATTGAAATTAATCTAAAAGCGTGAAGTATCTGTTAGCTTGAATTATATTTCTTTAAGAAAAAAATGCATTTTCTTAAAGTTTCTTACTTTATTATATTTCGCGATTGCGTATACGAGCCATTAATAATTTAAATAGTTTTGAATACCAAAACCCATTAAGTTAAGAATACAAAGTTATATAGACAGTGAAAAGGATAAAGGATGTTTGATGCTTTCGGTGTATTATGATATTGAAACAAGTTGAATTACGATCATAAGCAGTGAAAAGCATTATACCTACTGTGTTATCCTCTCTGGTTAAAATTAATGAGAACAAATCTATTAAGTCCATTATTGATTGCGTAAGTTCAACAAATTATTAAAGATTAACATGAATATTTTAATGTACTATGAAAACAATTATTTTAATAATTGATATACGTATACATAATATATTCTGATTGATTTTAAGTATAGTACATTATTAGTATTACACGATAAGACAGGCTAACATAGTGTAACATCGGACCGATTTTATGGCAGCGATCGGCGCAAATGGAAAAACATAAACGAACCATGTTTTTTTTAGGCATACCTTTTTATTCCGATTAGAAAGGTCGGTGTAATCTTCCCTAAGATACAAATTAGGCGTATTACACTTATGTAAATGAAAATGGACCTCTTTTGGTAGTGCACAAATGTACCCAATAATAGTATCGTTTAGTACTACCGAGGTAAAGAACAAAATACATCCTCCCAAGCAACGCAAAGGATAAACAATTTAACGTCAAACAAAAATAAAATGGTTATAACAATAAAATAATAATTATAATAATTATAAATACTAAAACTACAAGCAGTGTGTCACGAGTTGGTTATATTTGCTGTTGAGTCTGTCGACAAAGTTTCGAACTGCATCTCTCGACACGCGCTGACAGCGTCACCCGTTAAACCTCTCTGCGAAATGTTCGTCCGGTCCAAACGAGATAACGTGAAACGTTTGCACCACCGAGGAAATCCACGCGAATCCGTATCATACGGGATAAGCCCACCCATCCGCTAATTGAGAGGACCTTCGGATAGGAAACGGTGCTGTTGGCTCTCATCGTCGCCGTTCTCCACCATTTCCGGTCTCACTGACAGTTGTCCGTGGTAGTTCCCCGACGTCGCTCGTACCAAACGAATCGTCCACCACTCACATTATATATAAATATTTCAATATATGTACCCATAATACTGTTGGATATTGAACAGAATGTGCGGTTATGCATTGTACCTACCGTACGGCTGTGAACTGTACGACCACGATTCGGAAAATATTGCGTTAAAGTATTGTGGTCCGAACGAGATAACGAAACATCTGCAACATCGAGGAAATCCACTCGAAACTCCTATCACCACCCTATACGAGATAAGCCCACCCATACGTTAATTGAGAGGACCTTCGGATAGGAAACGGTGCTGTTGGCTCTGATCGTCGCCGTTCGCTACCACTTCCGATTCTCACTGACAGTTGTCCGCGGTAGTTCCCTCGACGTCAGCTCGTACCAAACGAATCGTCCACCACTCACATTATATATAAATATTTCAATATATGTACCCATAATACTATTGGATATTGAACAGAATGTGCGGTTATGCATTGTACCTTCGTACGGCTGTAAGCTGTTCGACCACGATTCGGAAAATATTGCGTTAATGTATTGCGGAACGAACGTAATAATGCGTTTGGTCGGTTTTTTCTTCGTAAGTCGTTTTGAGGTCGTTGCCATTTTCAAAAATTTAAATATAGTAAACCGTGTTCGAGTTCAATCCATTTATGTATTTTTTCAGGATTACCTGTGAGTGACGTCGATTTTGATTTGAATTGTGGTAAAATCAAATTGAAATTACTCGGCGCAATTGACGTACGGTCAGCACCGGCTATAATGGAAATAATGGATTTAATGATACCGTGACGGTCGTTTCTATGCGTTTCAATGGTAGGAGACATTGTGACCAATAAACTCCGTTAGCCTATTAAAAACGCTCAAGTGCACTTAAGTTACCCTTTGTAATTACGACGGAATAATGCGCGACGTAGAAAAAAAAGGGACTATATTGAAATTCAAAGCACATACGAAATGTTTATTGCTCAAACGCGAGTATGTGGAAACCCGTGGGACACTGTACAATATACAATACTGTGCACTTGGAGGAATGTTGGACGAGAAAGATAGAAAAAAAAACCTTCCCTGTGTGCACTCCCCCCCCCCCCAGCAACGACGTGTGCTCCGAGCTTCGTAAAACAGCTGTGTAAGAAAAATCGACTAACTCTTTTTTTTGTGTTTTTTTTTTTTACCCCATACTGCATCGCTACCATAGACGATACAGTCTCGCCGATAAAACTAAATCAAAAAGATTATATCGACTTGGGAAAAATAAAAGTTTCATAAGGACCCTCGTGGGAACGTTATCCCGTTGTCCTGCGGTTGCAAAGGAACATTTCGGTGCCTTTCGCGTTATTATTCTTTGTCAGAGAAATCCTTTTACGTTTTATTGCCTTAACCACAGCAGGCTCTTACGCTACTTTTAAATGAATTACAATCTTTTAAAATAAAACAATAAGTCATCGGCGGTGAACCAATTAAAGGTGAGATCGCTAAATTATTGCTCGTTTATGGTTTACGGAGTCCTTCGTTTTCACACTAAAGACCTTGTGATTGCAATACTTTTAGTGACTTTGCTGAATGCTGATGACTATTTATACGATTTGAATTGTTATACTACAACTGTGTGAAAGCACATTTCGGTCCCTCGTTGAGACTCAATTTCTAAACGGTCAGCTGATGCATGGGGTTTGATTGAATTAATAATAGTTTACAACGCCAGATTAGTTGGCACAAAAGCTAGGGACTGGAAGTGGGTGCGTTTAAACTTTCGACGGAGAGAGTGGATATACGGGTTAACTAACACCGATATATCCCATTAAACTTACCACTTTCTATAGTCAGGTCTGCAATTAGCTAGTTAAAACTGATGATCCAGCTGCTTCAGTATTAACTCGGCCACATTAATTACCGGCCAGGGCCTCCAAGCGCCTGACAATGAACGGATATATTATTAAAGCTTAATGGTTTCTAAAATTAGAAAGGACAGATAAACTTTGTCAGGTAAGTTTCAAGTCGGAAGTCAAAAGGGAACCTCCAAAACGAATGGTTTTGTTTGGCCTCACTAAGCTCGTGTGCTTATATCGTACCAAATCATCGACAACTGTTGCTAATAATAAGTCTCAGCTAATATACTTAATGTATTAATAGGACAGCTAAGGCCGATTGGAAACAATAGACACAAGTGAATGGCTCATAGAAATAATTAAAACTTTTAAATAATGTACACTATCAAACAGCTGACTGAAATACTGTAGTATAATGTTTATTGATCAAAGATTCTGATAAGTGTGAGTAATACATTGGCGTATTAATATTATATATTAACATCACCAAATTTGGATTTTTTTTTTTGTATGAATCCTTTTTTCCTGACAACTATAAAATAAAAATTATTTCCACTAACTTGAGTTTAAATGAGTGAGTAAAGATATTTAGATAGATAGATAGGTAGGTAGGTATAGTGATATATTATGATTTCCTTGCAGTGTTTAAATTTAAATATTTTATTTTAATATAATTTAGTCAGGTTGCACTGCCGAGTGCCTGCCCATAAATGCTAACCTCCTGTCAATAACCATTAATTATTAAATTGACTCATTATACTTCTTGTAATGTAAAGATTGTAAATAATTTTTTAATGATAAAAAAAAATAAAAAAATATAATTTTAATGAATTTAAATCAGGATGGACTTTTTCAAAATTCTGTTTCCTGTCGCTCTTTTGTATAACATAATAATACAATTATATAATGAAGACAAATATCTTAAAAATAGAAATCTGTATTTACCGTGATAGTTTTTTGGACTATTTTTTGATATTGTTTTTTTTATATCGACCATGTAATAATATTCAAAGAAATAGTGTTTGTACATATTAATATTATCATCCAATTTGTGATAGGTACATATTATGGTATTTTTTCATAATTTACTGTAGCTGTAATAAATTATATTATATTGTGAAGGATTTGCAAAATTATTTGATTAACTTCTCTTTCAAATAATATTTAAATGTATTATTAATATAAGCTTTAACAGTTGTTGAAGGAATTAAACAGTAAAATAATGAATGTAATCATAATTTTGCTGGTTTTGGTACATTTTGATTATTATTATCACAACAAAAACCCTGCGTAAACTAAGTGTAAAAATGGTTAAGTAAAAAAAATATAAGATCTTTAAGCACAAAGAAACAAAGTGTGATGAACAAAATAATTAAATGGTGAAGGACTATTAGTGCTAACTAAGGACTAACTTCGTGCTTAAAGATCTTATATTTTTTTTACTTAGCCATTTTTACACGAAGTTTACGATGTGTTTTTGTTGTGATATCACTAATTTTTATCGTTATTAAATATTATGTATTTACACAATAATCTATAAGAACGGTTATATTGTTGGTAACATTGGCAACGCTGATGCGACGTTGACGACGTTGACGACGACGGATACCGTGATTCTGAATTTAATATAAATTTTCATTAAAAAGTTCGCACTTTTTCATTTATAACTTAATTTTTAAACCTACGATTTTGAGGTTTCTTACAAAAATACGTTCTACACAATATTTCTGATGTTTGGAGTTTACTAGGAGTTAATTAATGCATTAGAAAATTGGTTATGTCTTATAACAAATTTACCTGTATTTTAGACAGTTTAAATAGGCAACTCCTGCTTCGATATACTATATACACACACCGTCGTGCAGTTATTATTTTTTTTTTTAATTAGCTCGTGTCACGACCGTGGGGCTGAATTCATTGATTTATACATTATTCAATATTTTAGCTAAATTAATGTGTTAGTTATTTTGATATTCGATAATTTATATTACTTAAAATATTATTTACTATATTAAGATTCAACATTCGAATAAACTTAATTAAGATTTGAAAAATACCAAAATAAATATATACTTAAATTAATCATTATTATTTAACAACTTATGATTCTGTTTTATGACATTATTTGAGAATACGTAAAATCACAGATTTTTTTTGCTATCGAATAATATTGATTTGGGTGTTATATGCATAACAAAATAGATAAGCTTTATTTTTTCTAAAAATCACAATTGTTATAGCACCTACATTAAAATATCATTCGTGTTATTTTTTTCACCTCTGAAGTAATATATTTTAGTTTTCTTTGGAAAACTTCTTTAATAAATACCACATAAATAAGATTATTTTTCGCAAGACCCTGTATTTAATTTTGTTTCTACGGAATTATAAAATATAAATTTATTTTTACTTCAAGTGAAAATTAAATAAACTTAAGTTATTTTTAATAATATAAAAATATGTTTATGCTCATCACAGTGATTGTCTAAGTGCAGGTAAGTATATCAAAGAGGATAAGAAATCCAATTATCAGATATTTTTGTTCATTACATGTTTTATATTTTATACATATTCTTAACACTTTCGAAATGCCCACTCTATCTACGTTTCAGAGTAAAATTAATAATATTGGTTTTGACTACAATCTTGTGGGTTCAATTTCCAGTTCATATTTCAGTATTTTTTTTTATTAACTTATGCGATTAATAATTTTAGTAAATTACAACTTTGCATTGCAAGTTAACTTCTTAGATGTTGTAGTATTAAATTATGTAGATTCAGATCACAAACTTTAATTAAACATAATACTTTTAAACACACATATATATATATATATATATATATATATATCTAAATTTATCATATAGGTTTTTGTTAATTTAAAGCAGATTGACTACATAGTATTATTTTGTTGTGTGCTCGTGTATTAAAGTTTAAATGAATTTAAATAATATATAATTATAACTTCATCACAATGTTACTTAGTGTTCCGGTATAAAACCATTAAACAAAAAACAAACTTCGTTCTAGTTTACAATGGTTTTTTTTTTTTACAGCCCTTATAGATGCTACGTCAACCTTTATAGTATCGTAATAATTAAAAAAAAATATTTATTTAATTATAAATCAGTTTATCTAGTTTGTGTGCGCAACCACTTCAATAGTTCGAGATCAGAGCTGATACAAAACGTGATTCTAGAGGCAATGCCTGACTTATTATTTAATATTATAAAGACGATACCATTATAGTTATACAGAAGAAAATCAAATAATGCAGAAGAAAAACACAGTAAGGGTATATTGTAAATAATGTAATATTGACTATATTATTATAATAGTTGGGTTTAATTTCGATTTTTAGTTATAACTAGCAGAAATGATGTTTGAACGAATTATATTCAAGCACAAAATGCTTATATTTTTTCACTTAATTTATCTTTATATTTCTTACAATGACGCTGAAAATGCGCGTATTGATCTATTGAATAAATATTATTTAATATAGATAACAATTTGTATTTTATGACAACAGTAAAAGAACTGCAAGTGAAAAAATGCTGAATAGTCGTAATTTAATTTTTACATTTCTTGTACAATTATTTATTTAACTGATATCCCAGTAGTCATTTACCTACTTATAATTATTGTGGAGTCCGAAAAAAATGTCTTATCAGATAAATGCTTGGTTATACATTTTAACCGAGTAGTCACTGGTGTATGAAGAGGGTTAATGAAAATGCTAGTAGAATCCTAAAGTGGTATAACAGAAATTATTTTAACCTTAAACTGGTCGACTAAAAAGATAGACCTTTTAGTAAGTGCGCTATCAATATTCAACCATGGCAGGGATCACCGGATTTGCATATTATCTTTTTCGAGTACAAGGATAAGCATTATTGGATACAAATTCGTTCACGGCGCACATCGTTCATGGTAAAATGTAAATTTCTGACAAAGTTAATATAAAAATTCTAGAACTTTTATTGTGTGAAATGGGA